CCACAGGTGTCCATCCTCAGAGAGAAGCTGGGTGTGTTTGAGGCCGAGGTGCTCAGTTTAAAGCGGGCTCTGAACGAAGTCAGCAGAGGAGCAGAGGTTGTCGTGAGTCCTAACCTGGCTGCTGCAGGACTGTTGCCTCCGTGGGGAGCTGTCCACTGCCCGCGAAACCCAACGGAGCCCTCAACTAACTCCCTCACCCCCACGTCTGACACGCTGCTGAGTCTTCAGAGCGATGAAGCCAAAGCCCAAAGGCAGGAAGCTCAGAGACAAGAGAGGCAGCAACGCGAAGAAGCTCAGTGGCGCGACGTGCAGCAGCGGCAGGATGCCCACATGCAGCAGGACATCCAAATGCGTCAGGATGCCCAGATCCGACCGGAGGCCCAGCTTCGCCAGGAGGCTCACCTGCGTCACGAAGCCCAAATCCGTCAAGAGGCCCAGCTACGCCAGGAAGCACAGCTGCGTCAAGAGGCGCAGCTCCGTCAGGAGGCGCAGCTCCGCCACGAGGCCCAAATGCGTCAAGAGGCGCAGCTACGGCACGAGTCCCAAATCTGCCAGGACGTGCAACTGCGTCAGGACGGTCATCAGCCGCAGCGAGGCCAGGAGGGACACTGGGACGAGGCAGGGGAGCTGCGCAGGCAGCTGGAGCAGCTGCAGGCCGCATTACGCCTGGAGCGGCAGCAGCGAGAGCGACAGGCCCTCAACTTTGACCAGGAACGGCACACCTGGCAGGACGAGAAGGAACGGGTTTTGAAATACCAGGCGCAGCTGCAGCTCAGCTACGTGGAGACGCTGCAGAAGAACCAAGCTTTGGAAAAACGTATGAGCCAGCTGGGAGCCAAACAAACCACAACCTCCACCACCACCACTATCACCACCACCACCACCACGTCCCCCACCTCCTCCAATTCCCCACCTCCCCCACCAGTCATCTCACCTCTGTCTCCCCAGCCCCCGCCCTCTCTCCCCGGCCCCATCGCCCTCACCCTGTCCCCTCCCTGTGAAGACCAAAAGGGCCCTCCTTCCCTCCACCAGCTTGCGCCTCCCTGGGCCGGACCCTCACGCCTGGAGAGGATAGAGTCAACTGAGATATAGAGACAGACGGCTCCGTGAAGCAACTTCTCCATCTCACTCCACTCACAGCGACGAGGCCTCTCACACAAAACCACTTCAGCATACAGTAGTAAAAAACGTTTCAGTCTACAATAGAATAAATCAGTACAGTCTGACATACTTTTCAAAGCAACTATAGACACCGAACAGCAACAAAGGCCGACTGTAAAACGTCACCAGTAACATGCAGATCATCCGAACAGGAGGTTGAACCGCATTCATCATTTCAGACCTCCTAAGCCGCCTTTCTCTCACTAGTTGCACACGACGACTACATCCCACATAATCAGTGTTCATGAAAAGTGTGCCACGCTGATGGATGGCAGAAAAACAAGAAGTTAAATGACAATGTTTAGATTACAGCACTAATACATGAGTCATTTAATACCATGCTAGAAAAAAAAAAAAAAGGACCCAGACAATCAGGGATATTGTCAGAATCGATCAACAAGAATATTATGCGGTATTTATTCATTGTAAGTCTGTGTCACTGGTTATGTAAAAGTAGAATTAGTGGTCAGAGTGTGTGATGTTAACTTGCATTTTTGGCCAGAGAGCGCCTTACTCCATTCTTTCCAGCATGTATAAGAGAATAACTAATGCTGGGAATAGATGAGAAAAAAAAACAAAAAACAGGAGAGTGGGTATCATTTTTTTTTAGTGCTTTAATTATAATATCAGCAAACCAGTTACACAACATTATTACACACGACTGGACTATTTCGTCACACGGACTAATTCTTGATTCAGTTTTCAAGTCATTACATGCACAGGGTCCAACATGCATGACCCATTTAAACATATTATTGAGACCAACAGAGTTTATATTTTGTACAAATTGAATTTAAATAGCTATGTTTAGCAGATAATCAGCCCCAACTCAATACAGAACACGTCTAAAGATGCAGGTGAACCCGGTTCGCCTTCACTTCAGAGCTTCTGTGGTGAATAAAAAAAAAAAAAACGAACACTAGGGGTCGTCAGAGAGCTTTCGCGGCGGCGTCTCCGAAACATTATCGAACTGCGAGGGAGAATGTGAATGGAAGCGCACAATTTGAATTTGGTTATTATGATAATTGTGTCATTCGCCTTGCACATTCACAGCCAAGAAATCTGAGAAGTCGGTATCCCCAAAGTTGAAAAAAAAAAACAATTTTTATAGAATGTATGATATACTAGAAAGAAATACTTATAATAGTTATAGATTGTAAATGTGTGCGAGAGAGTGCGCGAGCGAGTGCGTGCATGTGTGTGTACACATATGAGAAGCTTCAGCTTATGAGATTGAGGATAGAGGGACTAGTGGCAATACAGCAAGTGGAGATATATTAAGAGCAAAGGGGATTTTTTTTTTTTTTTTTTTTCTTTAAGTACAGTGAAATGTACATCAAAGCTTGTGAGACTGAAATTTCCAAACTGAGGGAGTGTGTATATCCTGGAAAAAACTCTTACTTTCTTCTGTATAGTTCATTTAGACAAAAGCAGGGGGGAGGAGAAGGAAGTTTTTAAAATAAAAATAATAAAAAAGTGGAGAGTCTGCCTCTTTAAAAAAAAAAGGAGCATTCAGGCTAACTGCACTATGTAGTGTCCTACACACAAGTTATGATGTACAGTAGACTCAGATGTGAATATCATGGCTTTTATATGTGTTGTTTATGCCAGCATACAAAGATGTTGCTCAAGAATATTAACTTATCTCTAAGGTATTACATAGTATTATCATCTTTATTACTGTTATTATATTATGGTGAACTGACAGAGAAAAATATGTGCCATTTGAGCTTTCCTTTATGTGTTTTTTTTGTTTTGTTTTTGTTTTGTTTTATTTTTTAACTGTGTAGATAGCCTATTGGCCTACCATAATGGTGCAATCATAGCAACCCTGTCCAAAAATGATGTTCCTTTTGATGTAGGTGATAAATGTAGTTACAGTATTGCATTGTTTAGAGAACAAAAATGCTACTGATTTTATACATGTTTCAGATTTATTGTTTGCATTTATGTTACTAGTACTGCTCTGGCTTGATTAAAAACCACCCCTTTGTTAAAATTCAGCAGAAATAATAAAGATATGTGAATAATTCAGCAAATCCTTTGTCCCTGTGCTTAAGAATCACGTTTTGAAATCTTGCGACGTGGATTTATTGGAGGCACGATGTCTTTTGTCACAGTGGTTTTCCAACATGGCTCCTTTCTGGAATAAATGTAAGGGGTTAGAACAGGGGTGTCCAATCCTGGTCCTTGAGGGCCACAGTCCTGCATATTTTAGATGTGTCCCTTCTTCCAACACACCTGATTCAAATGATCAGGATCGTTATTAGGCTTCTGCAGAGCTTGATGATGAGCTGATCATTTGAATCAGGTGTGTTGGAAACATCTAAAACATGCAGGACTGTGGCCCTCGAGGACCAGGATTGCCCACCCCTGGGTTAGAAGGTAATTAACAAGATGCAAGAATACACAAAACATGTTCAGTGTTACATTTTATCACCTCTAAGAATTCTTTTTTTTCTTTATTTTTTTTAATTGAATTGAATTTCATTGAATTAAATTATCTAGGGCTGCAAGGTGGAGTGGTGGTTAGCACCGTTGCCTCACAGCAAGAAGGTCGCCGGGTTGCATCCTGGTGAGGACACCCGGGATCTTTCTGCGTGGAGTCTCCATGTTCTCCTCATGCAGCGTGGGTTCTCTCCGGGTTCTCCGGCGTCCTCCCACACAGTCCAAAGACATGCTGGGGTTAATTGGTGATTCTAAATTGTCTGTAGGTGTGAATGTGAGTGTGCTCTCTAAGTGTAGCCCTGTGATAGACTGGTGACCTGTCCAGGTGTCCCCTGGTTGGCTGGGATAGACTCCAGCCCCCCACGACCCTAGTGAGGATTAAGCGTTGTATAGATAATGGATGGATGGATAGATGGATAGGTTCATGGCTCCTTTCTGGAATAAATGTAAGTGGTTAGAAGGTAATTAGCAAGATGCAAGAATACACAAAACATGTTCTGTGTTACATTTTATCACCTCTAAGAATTCTTTTTTTATTTTATTATTTTTAATTGACTATTATCTAAGCTAGTGGTGAAAGAGGTATATTTAGTGCTAATGAATAAAAGTGGCCATGCAACACTGAAGAAACGCTCCAATATGTGGTAAAAATGTGCACAAGTATTGTAAGAGTGACAGAAGTGAGTTGTGCAAAATAGTATTTATGAGTACATTATTATACAGCACATCATGTCATTTAATTCTTATTATTGCTGATGAATTCATATTTTGAAAGCCATCTTAATGCAGTTATTGTTGGAGGAAACTGCTTTATACGTTAGGATGGCTCATGTTGTTGCAAGGAATCTTATTTTACTGCCTGGTTATATGCTTTGTATGTAGAATATTAATCTGGAACGTAAAGCGGACTATCATTGTCACAATGTACAGGAGCATGATGGCAAAAGGTTAAAGCACAACAATATATATATATATGGCACTATACTATAGGCAGATAAATTAAATTATTGAGCGATATAATAGTGTGTAAACAGTAACAGTCATCTGACAAAAGAAGCCCGGGTTTGTCTGTAGGAACACTGTGCATCCTACTGAAGCGTCCTTGACCTGTTGGCATCTTGAAATGATGAGCAACACTGTTGACCTTCATGTGGAGGAGGAGATGCATCACTGACAAGAACAAGCTTGTAAAGTGCATTGGTAGGTATGTACAGTAAATGACATGTCGTCAACATGTTAGCATCGCCTGCCCTGACACTTCAGCTTTAGGATGTTAAGGAACATATTAAAAGTCTGCGGCAAAGCATTTACATTCAACCTATTTTCACCTAATTCACTCAGCACCTGTTGCATTTCGAAAACGCAAACGTAGCCTTCTCGGCTTCCGTAGTTGCTGCTGTTTAAGCTAGCTGATGGCTAGTAGCTTATTAGTCAGAGCAGAGGAGCAAAATAAACAGTCAAAACGGGTAAGTGTATTAACGACTTGGCAAAACGTGCTTGTTTTAGTTGTTTTAGTTTGCTAAAGCAATGCTAACATGGCCAGTCTCGCCAAACTTGATAGTTATTAGCTAGCATCATACTGCTAGCTGCTATTAGCTAGCAGAATGTAAACATGTAGTCCATAAAATACTGTTAAGTACAACTAACCAGGATTATGCCAAAATTTGGAAGGAAAACACAGCGTAATGCTTCACTGCTGACCCATGTGTGGGTATTTTGCTGTAAAATTAATGACAGTATTATGGTTTAGTTTAGTTTCATTGGTCACATCATTCATTTCAAATGCCAGGTTAGAAATCAGCTAATAGTCGGTATTTGTAAAAATTAAGGCCTGCTTGTTTTTATTAGCCGTGATTCTGCCAGTTGCCAAGAGTTCAAAACACAAAGATATTTAGTTTTCCATAAAAAATGACCAAGGAACGCTTCAAATAAGCCATACTCTATTCAAACTAGTAATCCACTAAAGCTGTCTCCTTATTTCTTATGATATTCTGATTAGTCATATTTATGTTGTCTATTAAACGTCTGATTACACTCCATCCATCACATCATCAGTATCTGAACAGCCCAACAGATGTTCAGTTTACAGTGATGCACATTCTTGGCATTTTCCTTTTGATAAATCATCTCACAGATTAATATTTATCAGAATTGTTGCACATTTGATCATCTGTTAATGGACTTATCTTTACGCTGACCTGTCACAGAACTGCAGTACATGATTTGTGGAAAATAATTTCTCTGTGTGGATCTGTATATTTACTGTTGACACGTTCCTCACATCACTGTTTATATGTAATTAAGTGTATTTTAACTACACCATATAGAAAGAGTATATTTAAAGTAAAACATGTCTTCTGTCTGCATCAAACTACGAATTCAACAACCGACAGGCTCAGACATCACCTTTAGGATGAACTGTTCCTCTGCAATCTGAACAGGACGTCACAGAAACACACTGATTCATTAGAATGATATTAATTATGACATGGCAGCTTATTAAAACGTGATTTGTGTGTTTTTTTCCCCCATATTTTAACGTTAATTTTACCTGAATTCTCAAGCAAACGAGCAGATCTGTCTCATATTTTTATACTTTTGCTAGTAAACTAGTATTTATAGAAACTTGACACAGATCAATAAATGTGTGTTGTGTTCATGGAAGTCGTAACTGGCTCGATGGATGTCAAGCGTACGTCATGCTCTCTGTCTTTTCCATTCTACAACTATTTGCTACAGGATATTTCTGTACAAGTTTACCTTCTTGAACTCACAGTTAAGAACATTTTCAATGTCAAAGGCTGTTTTGTCATGAGGTTACAGGTCTTTAAACTGTGATTATACTTTCTACATCAGTGTTTACATCAGTGTGTACATTTGTATTCACTGAATGCCTCATCTTGCTTTGACTTGTAGGAGATTTGTATTGCTCTAAAATGAGTTTGTGTCTTTACAGGTTGGAGAATATGGTGGTGAATCTCTGTCTGCCACACTTTTATACAACAGCTCACTGCAATAAGGTTTGACACATATCATAGTTGTATTCCATAACTGTGCTTTCCTCTGGCAATTTCTTATTCAACACGTTCAATGCTTTCCCAGCAATTTCACTAATTTTACTGCAGAACATGCAACATAACTCGTGTCAGCAACTGTTGATACTGACATCAAAACCTAATTTCAACACTTGAGTCGGTTCTCATAACAATACCATTCATCCTGTTTTTCTTTTAAGAAGTTAAAGAATAGGTTTTGAGCTGAGCAGGAGGGTACAAAGTACTCAGACACAAAGCGGCGCAAGGACGAGGTGAAGGACGCAATGTAAAAACGAAGAAGCAGAGGGACAAAATGATGTGTGGGAGAGTGAATCACAGCTGTCCTTGTTGTGTTCTTTTTATTGGTATTTTGTGATCTGATCATGGCTGTCCTTTCTCCACACTCGGAGGATGAAAGTTATAAAAATTCCCAGTTTAAAATTAGATTTAGATACAGAATTATCGTGCCTACTTTTCTCTTTTATATTGTCACCGCTCCTCCATGTGATGTTTTACACGTTTTTCCACGTTCGTCTTTGTGTGATGACTTCTGCGCTTGCACTTGAGAACATTAGGCCGCATTTTTTTGAAAGTAGTTTCATGTCTACTGTCAGTAAAAGGCAAAGAATGTATAGAACAGAAACCTTGAAAATATGGAATTTTCTTTTACTGAAGTGCGTGAGTACATCTTCGATTTTTTTTCCAACTGCAGCTGTGTGCAGATGGCTACGATGTCACAAACCTTGTGTCAGCCGACCCTGCTCTCCGAAGGCGGGGTTTCAAGCTGGAGTACTTCCTACGGCCACCTGTACAGGTAAGACCGCTGGCTTAAACACTGTCGTACTTAAGTAGAGTTTCTTTGTTTGTTTTTTACTGCGAGTTAAACAGAGGTTATACTCCGTTGTGACAGCTGTATACACCACAGAGTCGTAGTTGCTTCTAGTAGAACGTAAGGTGGTGCACAAGTTGTCCACACAAGCACGATTTTTTGTGAATTTCTGGCCGGCACGCAGAACTCTCGCAGAAACGACCAGATGATGAAATTCCTGACACTCAGATCCCGACTCACTTGCTTTAGAAGAACTCTCTGACCTATTTCACATGTACATGGGTATGTAGAAAACCAGTTTTTCCTCTTTAATTTTTTAAAAAACAGTCTTGTCTGCGTGAAAATGAAAAACAAGAGTGTTTTCAAGAGCACGCCAAACTAATAGGTGGCAATATAACCCTCACCTTGTAGCCGTGTCGGCCTGTTGGAGGCCTAAAAAACTCATGAAACAGATGAAAATGTTAAAGTGTAACCTGTGACAGGCTGAGATTTTTTATTATAAAATGAATAGCATTACAGTCTTTGCGGTTTTTATTGTACTTTCATTCAAGTTACAAGCCTAATATATGGGCACTCTGGAAGGAGAATGCAGGAGGGTTTTTAATTCATAATATATTCACTCAAACCTCAGTAATACATTCATTCATTCATCCTTGTAATTTCTTCCTCCATTCCTCACAGGTGACATTGAAGTTTGGCTTTCAGGTGGAGCTGTGCAGGGTGGATGTGGAGCTGTGGCCCTGGGGTATGGACCTAGGACAGGCCAGCAAGAGACTGGAGATCAGCACCAGTTCAGACCCTCTCCCTTCCACAGGCCACAAACTGGTTCAGCAAAAGGAACAAAGGATGCAGGTGAAGGACCAGAATGAACAGAACAGAGGACAACATCAAAGGCGGGACAGTAAATCTCGGTACAGTAATGGCCACCAGTGGAGTCTTCAGGCCCAGCAGTGGGGGGACGGGGCTCCAGGTGACTCTAAACAAAGCGGCCATGTGTTCAAGTGTCAGTCGAACACAGAATCCAGCGACCCAGAGCCCGAGTTTAAACTGGTCGGTCGCTGTGAACTTAGGGAAGACACCCAAGTCTGTTTCACGCGTTCAAATTTCTGTCCCCGGACCCCGTTCCTCTCCCCGCCTCCTCCACGGCCTGCAAACTCTCGGCAGGAGGAGCTGTGGAGCCGGGGTTTGGTCTCGCTTGGTGCTGTGACGCAGCTCCGGGTCACCGTGCCTTTTGGCGGAGCGGCCTCTTCCCTCGGGTTGAAGGCGCTGGTTGTGTGGGGACAACCGGCCCGCTGCTGCCCTGCTGAAGAAGTGGAAAGGATTAAAAGAGCCCACGAGGCCAGCGAGAGACGGCTGCCACGACCTGCGTTCTTTGTCCCCTCTGTCAAGAAAACCACACAACCACCTCAAACATCTCCAAAGTACGTACAGCATTTATGAAGCATTGTTTTTTAAAGTCTATAATAGTGCAGTGTTAATACATTTGTGATGGCTTTTTGTTTGAATATGGCAGTCTATCCATCCCAGAAGAATTCCTCGACCCGATAACCCAGGAGGTGATGGTGCTGCCTATGCTGCTGCCCAGTGGTGTGTCAGTGGACAACACCACTCTGGAGGAGCACCAGAAGAGGGAAGCAACTTGGGGTCGACCGCCAAACGACCCCTTCACTGGCGTCCCGTTCACTTCCACCTCCCAGCCTCTTCCCAACCCCCAGCTGAAAATCCGCATCGACCAGTTCCTCCTGCAGAAGGGGATGCTGAGCAGGGACGGGATGTTGGGGAGACGAGAGCAGGGAGAGGATCCACAGGCCTCCAGACTTATAGCCTCCAAGGTGTATGGACAGTCCCAGAACTCTCCACATTCCTCTAAATGCTCAACTAGTATTCAGTATAATACAGACACCGTTAACACAAACAGGCAAATTGAAGATGCTGGACCTTCATTGGATAATAGGAATCACATGTCTAACGCTCGTAGTACTGATGGTCAGTCAGAGTTAGACAGAAGAAAGAAAAGAGATCCAAGTGAAATATCCAGAGAATCAACGGAAGCTGAGAAACAACTACCGGCTCAAACAAAAAGGCCAAGAAGTGATTCTACCTCTGGTGAGTAGAACATGTTCTGTGAGAATAACATCTAAAACCGTTTTCTCTCTGTGTGTTTCTTTCCTCCTGATGGCTTCTCTTCATCTTTGCTCCTCTTCAGTCTCCAGCTGCAGCTCTCATGAGCAGCGTTTGTCAGCAAGTCTGGACGAGGCCCTCTTCTCTGCCCTGCAGGGTCGACCCTCCTTCACGTCCAACTTGCCCCAGCAGAGGCAGGTTACTCCTGACCCTGACCCACTAACAGCCACCCAGCAGAGTCCGAGTTCAGGCTTTCAAAGCATGTCTACAGGTAAGAGGTGTTGCCTCTGGAACACATTAGGCAGTGCTCTGCCCAATAAGTTGTGAATTTCAGAATATTTTTCTCCTGGAAAGATGTGTAGCTTGTTTCTGGGGGCATCAGATGTCATCAGTTTGGATTCATGGCAGTTAGAAATGCATTAAAGGGTCAACCTGCAAAAAGGAAGCATCAGAACTTCAATATAAATTTCTCAAACCACTTTTACAGGATGATCTATATTGTTGAATGAGTTGCAGACACATAAACTTGCAAAAATATTTGATCCAAATTTAAAGCCTCAGTTTGGAGAAATGCACGTTGCTGCTAGATAGCCATGTAACATAAACATATTTTCACTGTTTCCCTGATCATTGCAACAAAAGCTAGAACAACAATAATAAATCCTTTCTGAATTGACCGCTGGTTAGCAAACAGCCATCATGTGCTGCATTTCAGTCACTATTTCAGACTTACAACGAGCCAGAAAAGTATATAAATGAGAACAGCCGCACTGGAAAGTCATTGGAACGCTCTATATGTGAGGGCAGAGTGCAGGAGGGAGGCTAGCAGGTGTAAATACTGGAGCTAAGCTGTACAGAAGCATAATGTGAAGACGCGGTAACTCACAGCCGGTCCTCATCTAATGGTTTCAGACTTGCTTTAAAGTTTCCTCCCACTCTGAATGTCCATCAGTGTTATAATATCCAGCACTAAGGATTTCCTATTGCTGAGGTCACATGGCTATTAACAATAAAGATCAGTAATCTACTGGATCTTAAGCTCCTTGGACATAGGGCTGCATAGACATTCTTACATTCACTCTTGCAGCCAACAACAGAACATTTGATGAGCTTTTCTCGAGACGTTTTAGAGTTAACAGAAGCAGCTATGGAACTAGATCTGGATCTGTCCAGCTGTCTAACATCTTCATATCAAAACCACAAAACACAATAAACATCTGAAAATAAATGTCACCAGTTTAACTTTAGTCGTTGGAAGCATACGTGGAAATTTATTGGTGGATTAATTATTCAAGCATTCTGGATAATGTTGGAAAAAACACTTAATTTACACCATGAACACAGAAGAACTCCTCAAATGTATGATAAAAAGATTAAATATAACCCTATGTACTGGACTTTACAGAGGGTTCAGTGTGTTTGGTGTTTAAGGTTGAACTAATAATTGTTTTCACCCTCACATTTGTTTGCCAGCTGAGAACACCTGCTCTGCATGCTCCTCTTCCATCTCCGTTTACTCCACGACGGCATCGTCCATCTACCGCCTGAGCTGCGCTCACTTTCTCTGCCGCGCCTGCCTGCAGAGGGAATCAAAACCACTGAACTCTGCCACTGCATCAACTTCCAATCACATCTGCTGCCCGGCCTGCCAGAGCTCGACCCCACGCAGCCACATCACACGAGTGCATCGATGACAGGCTGCTTAGGAAACAAACTGACGCCTTCAGGCTGGGAGCGATGGAGGAGGGACTGTTGCGAAGATGAGGACAGGTTTGTACTCCAAATGTTTTCATAGAATAAAGTAAGAAAAGTAAATGAAAGAGCAGGTTCTAGATTTTACAGATGATTATTAAACATCACATCAAATTGTACCCGTCATCCAAAACTTCTCATTTCCAGTGTTACTTTGTAAGACTTTTGCATGATTTCTTATTAAACATCTCTCAAAGGTACCTCAAGTCCAGCAGTTATTTTGATTTCTTTGAATCTTCTCCAAGCCGTGACATCACAAAACTCAGATTACACGAGCTCTGTTGAGCAGCAGCTGAGGAAAAGACATCACTGATCGCACACAGCATGTAACATTGTTCTCTGCCCTTCCGCCTCCTCGCTCTTTCTTTTCATAGTGCGCTCAAGTGTATTCGCAGCCTTGGTTTCGCCGTCTTTGTACTGACCCTGGACGTGTGCATGTGTCGAGCATGCACGGAGAAAAAGGCTAGGGGACGAACAAACGCACCGAGAGCAAGAAAGCAGAAGCGTTTAGGTTGGAATTGAATCCACCCAAGGCTGCGTGGTCATTACGAAGACACGGGCAGGGTAGAGCTCAGCGAATCGGCTCGGCCCTTCTTTCCTTTTCTCTACTAGTCTTGAGAGGATAAATGCAGGCACAAGGTGCAATGATAAGAACCTCTTGGAACTCGTGCTTCATGTACCACTTTTTAATATACTTCTATGATGATGCTAAACTACACGACCTACTTGTGTAACTAGTTTTATTGCCTTCTACTTCTCCTTGTTTTCCTTTAAAGATGAGCATAACGACGATCGTATAGAAGAGGCTACAAGTCCTCCAGGGTGTCCTTGCCCACCTATTCGTCTTGTACCTTTTAACACTTCACCCTAATTGCCTCTACGAGCGCGAGCTGCGGCGCACAAAAGGGTTAAACAGAGAAAAGTCAGGTAAACAGTCTTCATCGGGCTTCGCTATCACAAAACAGAATAATTTGCGTGTTGGTTTCCCTGACAACATTAAGCTTAACCAAGGTCGTGATCCTGTATCCGCTCAGTAAGCGCGAAGAGCGGCATCAGGTGTTCTGCATGTGAAATGAAGACATGGGCTTCAATTTTGCAGCTACAGGTTGTAAATAGAGCACTTAAATGGCGGTGAATCAGGCTGAATGTTGGACTGGTATTAAATATGGCCTCTATTTGTCAAACTGGCTTTCTACATTCACTTCACTAAATGTGGATTTTATTTTTATTTCATCGCTTTAGTTTTATAGCATTTATCAGGAGTTATTTCTGTGTGAGAGGAGATGTTGTTCAGGATTACAGTAAATAAGATCCTGTTTTCTATTTATTACAGGATCAGGCTTGAATGCTTTAATACTAATTAACAAACTCCTTCACACCTCAACCTGCTGCTGCTCAGTTGTGCCATTTGTCATTTACTTGTTAATCAGCATCACCAGCAGCTAATTGGACAGATCCAACCCTCAGCACGCAACACGAATAATCACCTGAAAATATGTTTATTTGAAATGCTAATCTTGTTTTGCTCATTAATAGTTTTAGGTTACATCTGGGGGATAATTCGTGTGACCCGCAGGTTGTCATGATGCCGCACAGTCAAAAATGTCCACAGCTTGACAGCTAAACAGCGCCTGATGATCCCGAAATGTTCTTCATCATTGCCGTAAATCTAATTAGTCGTCCGCAAACTCCAATTAGTCGTTCACATGCCACTTTTGGTGCGTCAGGCTGAAATTATTCCGGAAAAAAAAAAGTTATTGGAAATAAGGCGCGGCGCAGTGCTGAATACAGAAGAGGCATCTTCTGCTGTTGTGGCCGTTTTTTTTTTTCTTCTAGATTTGTTAGATGGCACCAATCCGATGCGGAGACACATCTGCGCGCACGGCGGTGGCCTTCGGGCGCGCGTGCGTGTGTGCGTAAAGAGCGCGGCTGGTACAACGCTGACGTCAGGAATCAATCGGCTTTGTCCAATCATGTCCAGCGGCTTATAAATGAGGAATGATATCCGTCGGACATCCACATCGGCGGAGGACTTCCAGGTGCGCCGCGCTCACTCCGTAACCAGCAGCAGCAGCAGCGATGCCTCACTCCTTGTTCCCCCTGTGCGTCCTGGGCCTCCTCGCCCTCTCCTCCGCCTGCTACATCCAGAACTGCCCCCGAGGAGGGAAGCGGGCGCTGCCGGAGACCGGGATCAGACAGGTGAGGACCAGGGTTCTCCGTTTCTGTTGCTGGGATGTCATGTTTGACCTCTTTAGGTTTTTTTGTTTAATCCTTTTGGAAGTCTTGGATTAGGAATTTTCCAGACTGCTTTCTATCCAAATATTATTTAAAGTGATTATACTTATTATACAGTAATTATCTCTGTAAAATATATGAGAGAACATGTGAAATTAAGGGAATTCCAAGTATAAAATGCTGGGAATTTAACGTGATCACATGTAATGTAATTGGTTTATTCTACTAGTTTGTGTTAAGATGTGTAAAGAGCATCCCTGTCATTTTACTTTACTTTTAGGGGGAAAAAAAAGACAGTTTGACATGATTTTAAAAAACAAAACAGATTTATTTTTCTCCATATTATGTTTTATCTTAAAAATATGTGGCTCAATGTGTTCTATAATTCTTTAATTCTCACATTTTCTAGTGTCGAGCCAAACTTATGGACATATCAGAAATCTATACAAACTTATATTGAAGTGTGATGTGAACAAAATCATTCAATCAATAACTACACTGTATTTAATCATTAGTTTTTCAATCTTAAACCATGATCTGTTAATCAGACTGAATCACTAAAGAATGTATGTTCCAAAAATATAGAATGTGTATTATTATAAATATGTATCAGAGCTCCTAATTAATGCTTAAATGGTTTGCTGTTTTAATTGTACTGTCATTGGGTTAAACTCCTGCTGTTTTTAATCATCATCATTTAATCAGAAAGGTTTGATTGCCAAGTACTTTTTCACAAACAAAGACTTCGACTTGGTGTTTTACTACATAACAGTAAACAGTAAAATATAGATTTAAAAAGTGTTGCCAGTCAGTAGGCAGTAAATGTTATATCTGCTATTAAAATCACTTTGAGTCCTACTTTAAATCTATTAAATTCTCCTCCAGTGCATGTCCTGTGGCCCCGGAGACAGGGGCCGCTGCTTCGGCCCCAGTATCTGCTGTGGGGAGGGTCTCGGCTGCCTGCTGGGGTCCCCAGAGGCAGCTCACTGTGTGGAGGAGAACTACCTGCTCACTCCCTGCCAGGCGGGAGGGAGACTCTGCGGATCTGACGGAGGACGCTGCGCTGCTTCAGGACTCTGCTGCAACTCTGGTACAGTCTGCTCTCGTTGTTGGTTTTGTTTAGTGCAGCTATTCGGTACAATGTGGTATGAATTAGTCAATGTTGACAGTGTAAATCACAGGCCTTTCATTCCTTTCCTTTCCTTTCCTTTCCTTTCCTTTCCTTTCCTTTCCTTTCCTTTCCTTTCCTTTCCTCTCCTCCCTGCCAGAGGGCTGTGTGGTGGACTCTGACTGCCTGGGGGAGACAGAGAACACAGATCCAGCTCACGGCTCTGCCAGGAGTTCACCTACAGACCTGCTGCTGCGTCTGCTGCATGTGGCCACCAGAGGACAGAATGAGTACTGATGCTGTATTTGCGGACGTCCCCCCCCTGCTCCTCAGTGCCTGGAGCCGAAACAGAAATGCAGTCCCGCCTCAAGATCCGAACTCTGAAACAAAAGCCAAGTCAAACTTTGTCTCTGAACCAACTCTGCTGTGCTCTTCTGTTTCTGTCTGAACTATCTTCTACTTGTTTTTAATTAGCTACTTATATGGAAATCCTGGAAGAGAAGAATCATAACAACAGGCTTGAAATGATTAGATTTCATGTTTGTTCCCACTTAAGAAAAAAAAATGTATATACTAATGCACATACTGTACACAAAGTTTATTCTCTATGAGGGCGCTCCCGTTCAAATAGTTTATAAAAATCAGAAAACGCTGTAAATAAGTCCGACATTAAAGACTGAGGTTGGTGTAGAGACCCATGTAGAACAGCTGAATGCTTGAGCAGTCACTTCTCGTGTAGTAGAAATATTGTATATTGAAAATAAGAGAAACAATACAGAATGTATCACTGCCAAAGACTTCTGTTGTCTGTCTTTACAATGCGCTCGGCTCGAGTTGTTTACCTGCTCGAGTGTGTGTGAGAGAGAGAGAAAAAATGAGTGAGAGTGAAAGGAATGCACGTTTAACCACCACAGATACTACCTCTGAGAAATCGGCCTTGATAAATGTCACGGTTTAACCAGTTTCACTCACAATATGAAAGATTTATGGAGTCGTCGGGCACGCGCGTGTTAGTTGATGCGACGTAAACTGACGGTGGAGTCAATCTGCTCAAACCATACTGCTTTCAACATGTTTGCACTGAAGCACAAAAGTTCATTTCTAATCCTCACATTAATTTGTGAAAGCCGACAGAACTGAGTGTGACGACAGTTTGTGTGTTCCAGATCCAGCTGGCACCACAAGCGGGACCTCCCTAGTTTTAAGAGTTGTGTAATTCAACACCGATGTGACATTTCTAAAAGCTTGAGTTTGATTTTTTTTACAGAAATGTGTTGCAAAATCCGACACGTGCGTCTCGTGTTTCCTTTCACTTTCAGAATCCATCATAGCACAATGTGTACGGACCAGTTTCTGGATCGCGTTGCCCTCTGGCCGAGTTCACGAGTCAACGGTCATCAGTGCGTAAGATCATCTAGTCGGTCAGATAATGTGCAAACTTGCAGTGATTAAGCTAAAATAGAAGCACGATTTAAGATGCATCTTGCTTTAATTTTAATCATTCGCTGGTGAAGTCTCCTTTGATCATTTCAGTAAAACTTACCACAACCCATCAGCCATTTCAAAATGCAACAAACCTCTTTAGTCCAGACTAAAATATCTCAATAACCATCGAATGGATCACCATGAAATCTTAGTGCAGATATTTGTGGTTCTTGCAAAGTGAATCTCATTGACTGCTGTCCTCCCCTGATCTGTCCTGTAGTGTCACCAGCAGGTCACATGTTTCATTGATCCTATGAAATGCCTCAACATCTATGAGACTGGGCCAAAATTTTGCACATTTGGTTTCCAGATGATGTATCTTTATTACTTTCGTTTACTCCCTTTTCATCTACTGCCATCAGCAGAGTCCTAGTCTTGTAAATTGAAGCAATAGTCTCATAATGCAGCCACTGACATCAAACCAGACCACGGTGGCTTGTTTTAAAGACCAAAGGAAATCCATCCATTGTCTATACGCCACTTAATCCTCCTGGAGTCTATCCCAGCTGACATAGAGGGAAGGCAGGGGGCACTAAGCACACTCACATTCACACCTACAGACAATTTAGAATCACCAATTAACCTCAACATCTTTTTGGATGGGCTGCAGGGTGGCGCAGTTGGTAGCACTGTTACCTCGCAGCAAGAAGGTTGCCGGTTTGCTGAGTCTCCATGTTCTCCCCGTGCAGCGTGGGTTCTCTCCGGGTTCTCCAGCTTCCTCCCACACAGTCCAAAAGCATGTTGAGGTTAATTGGTGATTCTAAATTGTCCATAGGTGTGAATGTGAGTGTGCTTGGTTGTCTGTCTCTAAGTGTAGCCCTGTGATAGTCTGGTTACCTGTCCAGGGTGTCCCCTGCCTTCGCCCTGAGTCAGCTGGGATAGACTCCAGCCCCCTACGACCCTAGTGAGGATTTATGTGTATAGATAATGGATGGATGTTTTTGGACCTTGTGGGAGGAAGCCAGAGAACCCGGAGAGAACCCACGCTGCACGGGGAGAACATGCAAACTCGGGTGTCCTCACCAGGACGCGAACCGGCGAGCTTCTAGCTGCAATGTGACGGTGCTAATCCTGATCCACCTTGCAGCCCCAAAGTAAATCCTCCAGATTTAAGTTGAGGGTTGAAAAAAACAACAATCTGTCAGAGGGTGTCAAATCGGAGTACTACATCTATGTCACACTGGTTTAGACAAGAGGTAAAGAAAACAACGCCAGTCACAAATCATTGTGATTTGACAGCTTTACGTAAAACCTGGTATTAAGTGCTTCACACTCAAATTTAAAAAAAAGAAAAGAAAAAGCAGGCACTTATTCTTCGTTTTTTTTTTTTGCTATCAGCTTTTCCTGCTGCAACATCACCAGCATTCCCAGTTTCAACATAAACAGCCAAGAAGTCAGTCTGTCATTTGGGCTACCAGAAAAATTCCCCTGGGGAGCAGCTTCTTGTTTTTTTTTTCCCTACTCAATAATTATATTGTATGGTTGCACGCTCTGATAAATTGCACAACATGTGACAGAAATTTGGAAGCCACTCCTCAACAGTGTGCACAATGAACTTTCCCAGAAGAAGAGTTTGTTAACCTTGTTGCCAAATGACAGATTTCTTTTGCTCTTAATGTTCAACTTCTTTTTTTTCCTTTAGTTTGATTATCTGACTCATCTGCAGAGGAAGACAGTTTTCTCGCTTGTGGGCAAAAGCTTCTGTTTCAGGTGCCGACACTCTCGTCGTTGCTCCAAACCGCGGTCCAGAAAGGTAATAAGAGCTGAAATGAATCACTTTTTACCACTGAAGTGTCATCAGTGAGTCTTGCATGAATCACACACGCTAGCTTGTCTGAAAACTTTAAATAAAAATTGAGAAATGCAAATTTTTATTTTGTTTTCCCTTGACCTAAATTGCTAAATTGTTTAGGGATGACCTGTATCCTCTCTTCCGTGACTCAGGGCGTGACATTCGCAGAACACTCAGTCGGTATCCATCAATCAAATGGGATCCAGTCAAAAGAGTGGTTATTAAACCTGTCGGAGCTTGTCTGGAGCGGAGCACACCTGAATCACATGCTCGTCCGGCACCCACAGTCTCAACAAAGAGTCGTCGTTAAATCGAAAGTCAAATTTGTGTTAATAATTACTTCTGAACTTAGCTTGTCATCACAGGTTAATAACCTCCGATACTGTCAGTAACACTCAAAGAGACGCTGATTGGTTTGATCGCACGTTCCCACACTTGCCACAGTTGACAGTGGGTGGGTGGGTGTGTTCAGTGCTGGTATTTAAAACGGCAAAGACAAGATTTCCTTCCCCACAGCTGCTTCGCAGTCATGGACCTGAAAGTTGTGCTTGTTGTTGTCTGCCTGTACGCTTTGGCCATCACCTTCACTGAAGGTAAGGATACCACTCTGGTGAGAAGTTTAAAACCAAGAGGGGGCTTGCACTGAATTAGTTTAGCGCGTAAATGCAAATATTTTGAATTTTTCTGGTTTAAAAGTGCACGTGTGCGGTAACTTTTTGTGATCCAAAGACTGCACAAGTTACTGAGTTGAAGGAAAGAAAGAAGCACATGTTGCAGGATGGAAGCTGTTTATTGATTTTATTTAGCTCCATTTTTTTTTGTTTTTATGGGTTGAAATCATTCAGATAAAATCCTGTTTCAGCCTGTTGACTTGCAGCTGACACTTCTTGTCTATGTAGCTCTAACCTCAAGTCACTATTGCACAACAAAAAGTGATCCAGTCATGCTAAAGAAAAGCAGGCAGCTGTGATTGTTGTGTACAAACGATAATAACGGCACAGTTTCATGTTAGAACACTGGTCACATGCAGATACAGTTTGGTCTATGACACATTTCAGTCTGCAGTGTTGCTATTTCATATTTTCTTCCTTTTCCAACATCTCACGTGTAATCTCGATTTCAAGGCATCCCGAAATGCTGCATCAAAACAAAGAAGGACGTCTCCAGACGAACGATGATGAAGGTTTACAACTTTGAGATGCAGAGCGCCAGCGGTGCCTGTGACATCGCTGCACTGGTGTAAGTTTTCTGCTCATCATATCAGTGTTCATTCATGACACACAAACCTTTCCTGCTACTCAGGCTCACGTGTGCTTATATCTGTTGTGTCAAGCTGAAGCGTAACGGTCTTTCCTTGTTGGATCCACAGGCTGTACGTGAGAGACAGAAGGAACCCCGTGTGTGCTCATCCCAAGCTGAAGACGACCATGATGCTGGTTTGGCATCGGATGAAGCACAACAGAAATCAGAAATCAGTCAACTGAGATAAACGTCACTTCTCTGGTGGTGCTTTGTGTTTCCAATTGGTGTTTAGTTTTTTCGTGGTTGAAAGACAACAACTCATCTACTTCTCTAACTCTGTCAGGTGAACAGTAGCATTGCTTTTACTTTAAAACTCCAGTTTAGCCCAGATATTAGAAAAACACGAACATTTTGTCGAGTTTGATGCAGTGTTTTAGTCAAAACTGTACGATTCTGGTCAAACCAACTGTCTGAAACGTTGATGTCGAGGCCTACATAATTACTAATACTTTTACTTCAGTATAATTTGATCAGGGTTTTTGTATGCGTGGGTTATTTTGTAAAGTGATGTGGCTTTATTTTTTTTACTTGTGGTAATGATGTGAATATACTTCCACTGTTGCATTTATACAAAAAAGCAAAATCAAAAAAATGAATAAAAGAATCTCTGTAAACTGTGATTTATGTGTTTTTTCCCTCATTGTCTCATGCAGATGTCTAGACACAGTTAAAGAATCAGCAGAGAGAAGTTTTTGCTATTCAAGCACATGTAAAAAAATAAAGTAGACATCAAGAGCATTCGTTAATGTTGGTTGCTTTGTGCTAAAAGTAAGAATTCATCAAGCAAAATTACTGGATTTAATTTGTACCCAGCAATTAGTAATATTGCCAGACATAGAGACAGTCATCTGTGACATAAACTATTTGTCATCAATGACAAATACGAGGCCGTCAATGGAACTTTACAGGATTTTTTTTTTTTTAAACCCTGTGGGAGCTCTGGATGCTTACAAAAGTGAAAGTAAAATGGACTTCCCTTGTTCCGTCTTGTCCTCTACAGATCAACCTTTACTCTCCTTGACTAATCTCACAGAGACAAGCTGCTACACACAGTGAAGCCTGTAAAAGCGTTTGGAAAGCCTCACTGAGGCTCTTTAATTTGATTGATCTGGTTACATACCACGCTGACAGATAAAATACGTAGACAAAGAGTTGTAATAAGATAACTGCATTTTATCATCTTAGTTTCACTGAGTGGCTTCTTTGTGCTCTTCTGATGGATAAATTTGGTCATTTTACTGCGACTCAAATGCATTTAAAGCACAAAAATAAATGAATAAATAAATGATCTCCAATATATTGTCACCTTTTGTGCATCTTTCCTTTGGAAATACTTACATCCAGTATTGTGGAGCAACTTTTAAATCATACAAGACTGAAAGAAACAGAGCGGGCAACTTCAGGAAATGCAGGATTTTTTTCTTTTTCTGCAATTAAAGCTGCCACACACTTTAAGCCTGGCATCCGCAGCAGCCTCTGAACCACTTTTAAATCATCACTGCAATTTCTGCCAGTGCAATGCAAACATCGTAAATTAATTCTGAACTTCACAGGACGTCAAAACCGAGGTTATCAAGCGGCTATGATGGTTTGTGATCTGTGTATAATGGGAGAAAAGGTTCCTGTGAGCTTCTATATTATTATCTGCCCCTTTGAGTCACTCTTAAAAGCTCATAAAAACTTTTTTCTCGTGTCACAGCAGGTTTCTTGAGCGCTGGTTAGTCAGACTGTCCTGAATGGGAACAGATCTCAATCTCTAACCAGTCATTTATAAACACAACACTGGCAGAAGTTTATTTTATTTAAACAAAAACCACAAAATTAACAACACAATTAGACTCTATTACATCAGAAACCCCATTGAGAAAACAAACAAGTGTCAGATGGGGCAACAGAGAAAGTTACGGTGAGTCAAACATGTCACAGCTGAACACGGTTGAACTCCGGCCCACCGCTTAATCCGTTATCGTAACTCTCCAGGCACCCATCCATCAGCAGTCAAGCTGTCAGGAGAGTTTACCTGAGGCTCCTCTTGCTCCAAGTCGAGACAACAGTACGAGGGATCAGTTTTCTTTCTTTCATTTGTGGTGAAATGAAAGAAGGAGCTACCTTATGTAAGACAGAATCGACAGAGTGGGATTGCACAAGACGATCAAACTGCTGGAAGTCAAGTCCAAAGAGAACGTTTCTGGTGCGTTTGTCTGGTGCTCTGTCGGTTCAAGACGCTGCTCAAGACGATCTTACAGCACCATCTTGTGGAAACAGTGACAGCAAACACTTTCGGGAGTGAAGTTAAAAACCCAGCTAGTAGGGAATATCCCCACAGCACTGGCTAACGTTTTCTAAAAGTTCTGCTAAAGTTTCAACTAAATGTTTCTGTAAAGGTAAATGTTGGCTTCTGACTGCAACACTGATGTTTTGAGGATGTTGTCAGGGCAACAGATGATGAGAAGAAACAAAGAGAATTTTTATTGCACCGTTTAGAAAATGTTTCGAGGATGTTGTTGAGACCTGAGATGACACGTGAAACAATTTGCCTGGAACTTTCCAAGGCTGGTTTGAGAACCTTGAGGTAACAGACCGAGAAAGTCCATCCATCATCTATACACCGCTAAGTCCTCATTAGGGTCATGGGGGGCTGGAGTCTATCCCAGCTGACTTAGGGTGAAGGCAGGTTCACCTGGAGGAAGCCGGAGAACCCGGAGAGAACCCACGCTGCACGGGGAGAACATGGAGACTCCACACAGAAAGATCTCGGGTGTCCTGACTGGGACGCGAACCGGCGACCTTCTTGCTGCGAGGCAACGATGCTAACCACGGAGCCACCTTGCAGCCCTGCAACAAACCAAACAAGAGAAAAACATTCTTAGTGTAAGATTCAGAGCGTTTGAGGAATGTTAGGGCAAAACGTTTTCACAATAGTCTACCAATATCACCACAAAAAGATGTTTAGAATGAACATTGTCCTACTCTATAATTCTTTTCTTTATTTTTAAGACTATTTTTCTGGCGTTTTTGCCTTTATTAATCAGGATATTGAGAGAGTGAGACAGGAAAGGAGGGAGAAGAACGGGGAGAGACCTTGCAGCAAACTGTCGTGAGCAGGAATCGAACTCACGAACACCGCACCAGGGAACTATAGCCCCTGTTCAGGGGTCACCCGCTCAACCAGGTGAGCTATAGGGGCCCCTACTCTATATTTCTATATTAATAGCATTCTTGGAACTAAAATAAAAGTTTTAAGAACGTTAGATCATGTTAGAGTGTTTTTGAGAACGTCCTCCTACCTTAAAGAAGAACGTTGTGACAACAAAAACAAACGTACCTCTGAAAACATTACTATAACAGCACACAGTGACATCCCAGGAAAGTTTTAAGAGCTAAAATTCACCTGCTGGGGATCTTCAACGAGCTGCTTTTATTATATTATAAACTAAAGTTCGTGAGCTCGCTGACAGAAGAACAATAAATGTTCTTCTCACATTTATCACGCAGCTCAGTTCAAAGTAGCGCTGCGTTCTGCAAACAGCACTTCCTCTTAAAACGCTCCCAACATGTGCTCCATCCTGCCTGCGTTGGCAAATCTCATGTTGCAACACTAATGATGCCACAATGAAGATTAGTAATAAGCAGCACATATTGGCAAAGCAGCTGCTGTATAAGAACAACAATAGAAGATATTTGACTTTCAGCATGTCTGACTCTCACCTGCACACATCAAGCCCCTCACACCTCCACTGATTAATAACCACCAGTGATGTACTTTATCTGGTGAAGGTATTTAACATATTAGTCTCAACAAATGTCAGTGCAACCTTTTCCTCATTGATAAACAGATGTGTAAAAACTTCGGTTAGACTGCCTATTAAAGCAAATTACACTCATGCGAAGCCGTTTGTCGTCCAAACAATAGATTTATAGATAGAGCACACCCTAGCAGACGGTTACAGAGAACATGTTTTGCTTACTCGCCTGCCGGAGCGTGACGACTACTCTTTGTCTAACAGTGTTTACCTTGGCAGAGCCACCAGACAGCTCTTCAGTCTGAAGCTGAGCGGGACTGCTTTTCGCACGATAGCAGGCCGTTTGATGGATAAAACGTCTCCTTAAACAGTCCAGTAATATGTCAGAAAGAATAGAGTAAGTTAAAGTCTGTCTTTAATGTTTAGTTTTTGTCAATTAAAAGACTTACGATATGATCTGTGACT